ACCATGCCCAGCTCTAAGTTACTTTTTAAAATATTTTTCCTCTTAAAGTCACTGTCAAGGTCTTAATTTTGCTCAGTACTCCTTCTGTGCATCCTCAGCTAGCATCTTCTCAGTAGCTATCCTAAAATTTTACTTTTTTCAAATTCTCTACTCTTTACACTTATCTCCTAGATTAATTAGCTAACCTTGCTCTTATAACTACCCCCTAAAATGGAGGCACTCCATAATGTGTAAGAAGGTCCCTTCTTTAGTGCAAAGCAAATCCTGTAATTCTTCAGTGCATGTATCTTTCCATCTACTAAGGATTTTGTTACTTTCCCTGTATCTCATCATTTTCTTCAAGACCACAAACATACCTATATCTTACCTAGTAAGAACAGATACTCCCTGATCCCTTTTCATAGCCCAGTTTCTTGAAAGGATGGTCAACACAGTATCTTTACTTTCTTACCTCCTATTCGCTTCTCAACCTATGATGTCATGCTTCTATCCCCTATACAGTGGCATTCTTCTCAAAAATCATGAATGATCTCCTTACTGTCAGATCCAATGACCTTTTGGCCCATTTACTATTTGACCTTTCTGTAGCATCTTAAACTATTAACCACTTCTGCTGAACTAGTCTCACTCAACCTTTGAGATAGTTTTTTATTGGTCTTTTCTTCCTAATTTTTTAATTGGTCCTTTTCTTCAGTCTTCTTCACAGGCTTCTTTTTCCTTAGCTTCTTTCTCAGATGTCACTGTTCCACAGGTCACCACTCTCTTTCTGTTCTATTCCATCCTATCCCCATCCTCATCCAGGGTGACTTCACCAAAATTCATACCTTCAATTATTAGATTGTTTCTAATAGGCTTCCCATCTTTTCTTATATGTGCAAAACTGGCAACCTTTTGAAATGTTGCCTGATTCAGGACTTCTTATTTTTAGAATTTTAGAGGTTTATATATTCAAGCTATTTACCAAAATTACAAATATATCACATTTGCCATGAAGTTTAGTACTTAATAAATCTTAAATAACTGATATTGTCTATACTTGAACTGTTTAGTTCAAGTTTCTATAGACTCAAAAACATTCTAAATTTCCTCTTCAATATTTGGGTTAATGTCACTGCCAAAATAAAGAAAGAAACAAATACATGTGCCAATGTGTTGCAGAAAATTTTTAACAAAAATAAAGCTCAAACCTTTTTTGATGAAATGGATGATTAAATGATTCTGGGTAATGAAGACTCGTTTTAATGAGACTAGAAAGCTGCTCTACTGATGGTCTTGAGGAAACTGTAGTGTTTTCTGGCCTGAAAAATTTCAATAGTTCCATTTCTGGTGGTTCCTGAGAAAAGAAAGAAAAAACATATGACACTAAGAACACTGCCTTGTTTAAAAAAAAAAAAAAAGCAAGCATAGTGTATACATACAAAAGTTAAAATCGGCAGAGATAATGTAATGCATGAACAGTACTTTTTCTGCTGTTAAGCAAATAGCTGCTATCATTTGCAGTATAATCTAGGATAAAAAAACATCAGTATCTGGAATCATTTATTCATTCCTCACTTATTACATGTTGGAGTTAGACTTGAATCTCAGTAGCTTTACATATTAGCTCTGTGATCTTGGATAAGTTACTTAATACTTTAATAATTAATTTCTTCATATGTAAAAAGAAGTTCATGACAATAATAACTTCAAAGGTTATTGTGATTCTCATATGATAATACTGCACAGGACTTAGAACTGCAGACATTCTATAGCATAGCACCTGTTTTAATAGCTGAAAATCTAAAACTGTCTTAATATTTCATTCTGAAAATATCCTGCTGCATTGTATAGATTATAGTGCTTCAACTATAGTAGCTGAAGGTTAAAATGCATGTGAAAAGTATTAACATAGCATTTGTCAGGCACATTATGACTATTTCAACAAATAATCATTATCATCTAATGAAAACAGAGGTCAGGAAGGGTGACTCACACCTGTAATCCCAGCACTTCGGGAGGCTGAGGCAGGCAGATCACCTGAGGCCAGGAGTTGGAGACTAGCCTGGCCAACATGGTGAAACCCCATCTACTAAAACTATATAAATTAGCCAGGTGTGGTGGCACACACCTTTAATCCTAGCTACTCAGGAGGCTGAGGCAGGAGAATCACTTGAACCAGAGGTGGAGGTTGCAGTGAGCTAAAATTGCACCACTGCACTCCAACCTGGGCAACAGAGTGAGGCTCTGTGTCAAAATAAATAGAAAGACAGAAGGAGGGAGGGAGGCAGGGAGTTGGGGAGGGTGAGAGAGAGAGAGAAAGATGAAAGTGGAGAAACATCCCATTTCTACTATTATTTTATTTCTTGGTTAATTTTTTTTTTCTCTATTTTCCCAAACCCCCCAGAATAATATTTGATTTATAATTTTCTGATAGCCAAGTTTGATTTTGATCTATACCAGCAATTGGCAAACTACAGTCCATGGGCTAAATCTAGCCTGCGTCCTGTTTTTGTAAAGTTTTATTGAAACGCAGCCACATCCATTTGTTAACATACTGTCCATAGCTGCTTTTTGACTTCAATGACAGAAATGAGTGATTATGACATAGTCAATCTGGTGAGCAAAGCCTAAAATACTTCCTGGCCTTTTTCAGAATAAGTTTGCTGACCCCTTATCTACACAGCTGCAAAAGCAAGAGCTAACTTTGCTGGAAATAAAATAAAAGCTGCCACTGGTTCCAAATTCATCCCGTTAACAAGTAACAAATTAACCATATTATATTCAAGTAACACCCTGGGGCTACTGGTAAAAAAAAAAAAAAAAAAAAGACAAATTTTACAAAACCCAAACAAAAAAAGATTATAACCTAGTCACTGGTAATAGACAAGCATATAATCATATGGCCAGAAATTTCATTTCTAGAAATCTGTCCCACAAAATATGTAAAAAGCAAAATATTTGAAACTGGTATGATATACAAATATATGAAAATTGACCAAAAATATATAGTAGTCAAAGTTTAACAGCATGTTACAAATACATATATTCCAATACTTAATATTTGCATAAGCATGGAACATTTCTGGAATAGAAAAGGAACTTGACCATGGGTAACTTCAAAAAGTGGCCCTGAGGAGAGAAAAGCAAAGCAGAATTCGCTTTCTCATTTGTATATTTGATTTTTTGTCTTAAATTTTTTATCTTTCCAATTGACAGTTTGTGGATATTTTACTTTTTTGGAATAAAAATTACTACTTTTATAATAAAAATCTTTAAAAATCAGATAAACCAGAGTATATAAAAGAGAATAGAAGTGTGATTAAGGGGAAACCAGAGATAGAAACTATCCGATACAATGTAATAGCCTTCACATGTGGGATGTAGGTGGAAGTATTTTTATGCTTAAAAAGAGGAAAATTAATTCAGAAATGTTAAAAAAAAATTGAAGATCTTTTTTAAGTGGCAGAGATTATATACAAATACAGTTCTATTTTGAACTACTGTGCTATACGGCTTTGGCAATTAAATTTTCCTTTTGCTAATCATATGACTTAAAATTACAATTTTATATGCCTTCTGTAGCCTAAACAGAGGAGTCAGATCATGAGGACTTCTACCTACACCTCAAGGGTTGAAATTTTAAGTACTGATGTGAACCAACACTTGACAAATACCAAATACCTAATTAATGGTATCTATTATTGTTATTTACCTATGTGGATTACTTTATCCCCCAGTATCTGATAATTTTCTCTAGCTGAATGTTTTTAAAATTTATTTTAAAAAATAAACTATCTCAGACTTGTTTTCTTTAAGAGACAGGGTCTTGCTATGTTGCCCAAGATGGTCTTGAACTCCTGGCCTCAAGCAATCCTCCCACCTCAGTCTCCTTTGCAGCTGGGACTAAAGGCATGTACCACCACACTCAGCTTCTTTCAGACTTTAAGGAAATTTAGATTGGCCAATCAGAGATTTAAATACAAGACTAGTATACTCTCGGTACACAAGCATCTTGATGTGTGTATGGGATAGTTGCCAGCTTTTCACAGGACTCAAAACATAACACTTATATTGGTGATTTTATTTTGGTCCAAGGTCTGTCATTTGGCCGTACAGACTCAGGTATTTAATCCCACTATTTTCTCAGAGTTAAGTAATGGTGAGATGTTAATCACTACAACACAGTTAATGTGGATGAATGCCAATGTATAGTGATAAATAAAACTTGCTATCAACTGAACAATGAGCACAGGCTTTCTGTTGGTAGAATACTCAGGAATCAAAGTTTCAGAACACTGATTACGAAGCACGAAATCAGACAAGGGATATTAGTGAGATAACACAAATGATGACTGGCATCAGGCTGATCACCTGCACAATGAAGATGTAACTACAGAGACAACAAATACTAATGTGGGTAAGCAGAACCTACTTATCCCATGACAATGGTTGGATGAATATTGGCAATGTCTTTTTTTAATTCTGTAATTTTACAACTGACCGACTCCCCTACTGATGGACAGTTTCTTTCTTTACTTATACAGATGAGCAGCCCAAATCCAAAGATCCAAAATCTGAAACGCTCTGAAATCGGAAATGCTGCAAAATCCAAAAAATTTTGAGTGCTGACATGACACTCACAGGAAATGCTCTTTAGAGTATTTTGGATTTCAGATTTTCAGACTAGGGATGCTCACCTAGCAGGTATATGATGCAAATATTCCAAAATCCAAAACACTTTGGGTCCCAAGCATTTCAGAGAAGGGATACTCAATCTCTTCTTATTTTCTCTCAGGCTGAATTCAGTTTGTGTATGACTAGGAATGCTTTTTCAAATCTTGCATATTTCTGCAATTTTTGCAAAATTTATGCAATTTCAAATTTTGCGTATTTCTGATCCATTACATAGTTGTTGTTTTTTATGTGAATAAATCACTTTATGAAAAGAAAAAGACCTAGAAGTGCAATATATTTTCAATGCAAAAAAAAATTAATGTACAAAATTGTAAGATAAAAAGTAGAAAGACTTTCCTTTTATAAATTCTTAAGGAAAAATGTTTCTAAAACACTTTAAACTTACGGGTTGTATATTAATCTGCAATACAACCAATTTAGCAGGCTCTTAAATATTTAAAGATAACAAAAGGGAAATTATAATTCCTTTATTTTTATAATTATAACAACCACTCAATGAAACCTGTAGTTTATTAAACAATATCACCTCTTCTGTCTTTTTTCTTTTTTGGTTAAAATTTTACCATTCATTAAGTGAGCTGAATGAATATTTACATGAACTTAATATGTAATAAATGCACAACATAAGCACACATATAAGTTATGGAAATAGAATATGTGCTAAATAAAACAGATTTTGTTGTTGCATTGGTAAAATAATTTTGTGCATAGCATTCCCTATATTTATCCTTTATAAGGCACAACAAAAATTAAAAGACATGCTGATTACAGAACTGCAATGTTGAAAGTTGTAATCTTAAAGCTTACTGTGTACTATCTATTTGTGTGCAAACTATTAGTATGACAGAGCCACTCATATCTGGTTAAAATATTTTTGGTTTCTTAATGCAGTGGAATGAATTTGGTAACTCAGCTTTCTTTATTTGTTCATTTAATAATTACCAAGTACTTATTATGTGGTAGCACTATCCCAAGAGGTTGTAGTAAAATAGTAAATAAAGCAAACAAATTCAACCTCAATAAGTAAGTCTACCTGAGGGATGGATGGAACAATGTGAAAACTGATAAATTACACATCCTCAATCAACAGATTTCTATTTTCTCTCAGACAATTTTAAAACTGACAATTATTATGAAATATTATAGCTGTACTTATTTCACAGAGTCTCATTTGTAAAATGGGGGTAATTCTACCTGCCTTGCTTACAGAGTATGAGGACCAAAGGAGAATAAAAGCCACTTTGTAACCTGTAAGAAACACAAATTCAGTATGCTCTCAATCAGTTCGGGTACATATCCTTACTTTCCAGTATCATAAAATCTTCTGGCTCATCTTGCATTTTCTCTGCTCCAGCCCTAGAATCAAGGATTTTTCCAAGGAACTCTGGTTCCTTTTATTGGAGAATAGTCAGTAAGTTTTAAGATGAAATTTTTGCTGCAAATAAAAAAAACTACAAGTATACCAAACAATATGGGTAAACTTCACCAACACAGAAGTTGAATAAAAGAAGCTAAGGTATATATTGTATGACTATTTACATAAATTCAAAAGAAGTAGCTTTGCTTTTGACTTATAAGTCAGAAAGAAATGACTAGAAGTTTGGTCTGGAAGAGAAAGATTTCTGATTGGAATGGAACAAATGCAGAACTTCTGGGGTGCTGGTTAGGTTCTAGTTCTTGATCTGGGTCCTCGTTTGGAGCGTTCTTCAGTTTACGAAAATCGAATAAGCTATTTACTTTTCTGTACTTATGTTACATTTCAGTAAAAAGTTCAAAAATGTATTATTTATGTATTCAAGTCACCAAAAAAATACAAGCTTTTTATTTGAGATTTCTAAATTATACTGAATACATTTCTATATACCACCTGTCAGGAGGAAAACACATGAACAATGGCCTTAAAAGAATACCTGCAACCTTGCAGTGAGCCGAGATTGTGCCACTGCACTCCAGCCTGGTGACAGAGCGAGACTCTGTCTCCAAAAAAAGAAAGAAAGAAAGAAACCAGACATTTATACCACCACAAATTATCTCCGCACAAATTATTTATTATTATGAAAGGAAAAACAGTAACTTGACTGTGAAGACACATGGCACCACCTTAAATGATCCAATACTGATCATGAGACAAATTAACATCATGCGCTTTCTTACGCAACACATCACTTAGTATAAACTTAATCTAATCATGAGGAGACACGAGAAAAACCCAAAGAAGTATACTCTAGAAAATAACTGGCCCAAGCTCTTCAAAAATGTCAATGTCATAATCAACAAATAAAGGCTAAGAAACTGTTTCAGATTAAAGGAGACTAAAGAGATATAACAACTGAATGCAAAGCATGATCCTAAACTAGATCTTGCATAGAAAAGAGCAAATAGTCACATGGATGGAATTAAAACCTTTGATGGCATTTGAATATGGATTATATAGAAGAGTACTGCATCGATGTTAAACTTCCTGAATGTGGTAATGTTGTAGTTTTTTTTTTTTTTTTAATGTAAGAGATTTGTCTGTCTTGTCTTTCTTCTTAGGAATACTCAATGAAGCATTATATCCAGGGACAGAGTGACAGGATGTCTGCAACTTACCTGAGAGTAATTAAGAATGATTAAGGGAAAAAAATTAATACATATGTAAATAACAACAAAGCAATTAATGCAAAATGTCAGCCACTAGTAACCTGAATGAAACTTATTTATAAGTGAGTCTTTTAAGCTATTCTTGAAAGTTTTCTGTAAGTTTGAAAATTATTTCAAAATAAAAAGTTATCAGAACTAATGGTAGGGGTTGCCTTCAGGTCCATGGTGAAATAAAAATAATAATAATAATAATGGAGGTGGAGCCTTGAAAATTAAGATCTGTTATTTAAAAGCAAAATACAGGGCCACTGTTTGAATTACTAGACTAAATGTGTTTATATTTCATTCATATTTACTATGAAAATTTTTCGGTAACATTAAGTATTATTTTAGGAAAAGTAAGAAAGCATATTCAATGCTATCAGCAGCTCCTACACAACTCCAGGGGCCACCTTTTACATATTACAGTATATCCTTGGAGCTCTGCAATGATATTCTGTTATAACAAATGAGAAAATAAAGAGATACAGTTTCTCTACTCTTAAGCAAATCAGTTCTTTTCATACCTATGAATTCCGGATTCAATATGGAATGTATCTGAGGAAACCCCAAAAATCATAGCTGCATCTTAATACTATGATAAAGGTGCTGATGAATTTTAAAATCAATTTATGTTCACTTTTAATCATTCTTCTGTCACCAACACCCAATCCAAATACCAATATAAAAACCTGACCATGGTGGTGCATGGTAGCTCACGCCTATAATCCCAGCACTTTGGGAGGCCAACACAGGAGGATCGCTTGAGCCCAGGAGTTCGAGACCAGCCTGGGCAACATGGTGAAACTCCATTTCTACAAAAAAATACAAAAATTAGCCAGGTGTGGTGGCACACACCTGTAGTCTCAGCTACTCAAGAGGCTGAGGCCAGAGGATCACCTGAGCCTGGGGAGGTCGAGGCTGCAGTGAGCCATGATTGTGCCACTGCACACCAGCCTGGGTGACCAAGTGAGATCTGGTCTCAAAAAAAAAAAAAAACCTGAAAAAACCAGACCCCTTCAAAAACACAAAAGCCAACCAACCAACCAACCAACCAAACCCTACAAGTTAACCAGAAAACAGCAAAGCAAACTATGTTATCACCTGTTTCTGAGGATATGAAAAGGCTTCTTTTCCTATAGTGCGAAGAATAACATGATGTTGACCTTCCAAAATAAGCTGTTTACTATCTTCCACAACGTATGCCTAAAAAATGCAAAGCACAAAAATGTTACCTGCTTGACAGTAACCTCTAAAGTAACCAACCCAATATTTGATGGAAAGTGGAAATATTATGGCCAATATCTATCAATTATTGACACTCCTGGCAATGTCACCATTTCTATTTTTAGTTATTCATTCAATCAATAAAGTATCCAAAAAAACAAATCTTTTTTGCCTCAATATAACACAGTTGGCCTGGATATTTGAGAGAGATACGTCGCAAAATCCTTTCCAACATTCTTTAGAATCCTTAAGAAACTACTTTAAAAGAACCATGCCATAACACAAGCTTTTTTCTTTATTGAACTACCAATATACAGCCAAAAGGCTTATTCTTACAGTCTAGCTTCTGATGTCCTAGGGTTTATCACATAGCTGAGCAAAATCAGTGAGTACAATCATAAATCCTTTAACTGGAAATGTTATGTTCGTAAATATAAATATATATGCTTTAAAAAAGGCTTTTTTCTTCCAATATAGTGAGCTGACTTTATATTAAAATACTTGTTTCAGTTTATAACTCTTCTCTCTCTTGAATTGCTTCGGCGCTGGGGAAAATATAATCTATAAATGGCTTTGATTTACTGTCATTATCACATTATGCAAACACAAAGGCTTAATTCTTTTGACTAGCCCAATATTTTTATTAGGTTCAAAAAACATAAAATTAGTCAAAATGCTATCAAAGTTTCTTATCGTTTACTTTCAATTTCTGTACTTATAATGGACTAGTGAGTTTGCCATCCACAGAACAAACTTTGGGTAGTGCTGCAGTAAGGCATAGGATGGCTCAGGATCTGCTCAGTATCTATATTTGCAAAACCCAGAAAGGCAGGAGAAGTTAAACACCTGATAGGGTAATCTTTACTCAAAAAGGGGTAAGAGTTGACAGATAAGGTTCTGAGACTTGTCAGATGTCTTTTCTGATGATGTTATGGCATTGAGTGACAGTCACCCATAGCCATGACTAATTCTATAATGCATCCTCCTGCTTGCACAAAACCTTAGATTTTTAAAACTAACCTTTATTTTTGATTAAAATTGTTTAGGAGTTGTATTATGTCCCTTTTTCAACTATTTTTTTCACAAAAATGTTCGAGCTATTGGTTTTCTCCTGAATCATATTTTATTCAAGAGTCCTATGCTTCCTGTGCATCTTACAACTTGAATGACTTTTCAAATTTTCTTTAATCTAATGAATCATTTTTGCATTATCTAGAACTCTGACTAAAACAAACAAAAATCTGCCAGTCACTTTCTCCATTGAGTAAATTATAAACTTATCAAGGTACTAGCCACTACTAAACTTAATAACCCATTATTTAATCTATTCAAACTTCCATTTCCCAGCCAAGGAGCATCACAATCTTAGATAACTTTCTTCTTTATGTGATTAGTGATACTAGCAGTGGGCTTTAGGTTCAGGGCCATTTCTTAAAAGATAACACTTTTCCCCTCATCAAAGAATACCATGCACTTAACAATGAGTACAGAATATATTATACAAAACCTTGTCTCAGAAATATTATGGATTGCTACATGGCATAAACCTGTTGAATGAAGAAATAAACCAAAGAGCTTTATACACTTATATGATTCTAAAGTTCAGAAGAATTTGATTTCGCCAATAATGTATAACTGATCTTTTTAACATAAAACTTCTTCTATAATCAACAAAAGTACCAATTTATTTAGATTTCATTTGAAACATGCAAAGTCAGCTTGGTTTCAAAAAAAAAGTTTATTTAAAAACATGGTTTAGTTAAAAAAAAAAAAGAACACTTTATAAAAACTTCTGAGTCAATTTAAAATACATGTATTGATTACCTAGTATGAACATGTCTTTATGCTGGCTCTTGTATCAAACAACAAAAAATCAAAACCTTGTCACAAAGTTCCAGTGATTATTCTTGGACAAGATCCTTCATTTCACTGCAGAATCATTTTTAAAAATAAGCAGTACATGCATATGATACAAAAGGGTGTAATGTAAGAAATAAGACTCCTCTGCAGTATAGTTTAGCTAACCTTAGGGAATACTAATGTCTAAATAATCTCATTCGGGTCTGCCTTGTGTGAAGTTTATTTGAATCTGATTTTTTTTAATAGGGTAAAATAGTATATTTAAATAATCTGGAAAAAACTGAACACAGACCAATTAGATAATTATTTAAGAATTATTAATTTGGTTGGGAAAGATAATACTGTGCAGTTACATTAAACAAAAAAGTCTTCATCTGTGAAAAATACATACAGAAGCATTTACAGATGAAATATGTCATTTAAAAAATACTACAGCAAAAAAATTAACAATTTAATAAAAGGGAAGGTAAATGGATTATATGAAATATGAAAAACAAAAAATTAATGGTTTTTGGAGCCAATGTAGTGGATTTCCAGAGGTTCTTGGTGCTATTTTTCCCTCTGTAGAATGGAAATGCCCTGAACAGTTTAATACCATCTGCTTTCAAAGCTTATCATGTCTACAATATTCTCAGTAACACACAGAAATAACAGTAACACAGAAGAATGTTATCTAATTTGAATGAATTCTTTTTTGAGGCCAAAAAAAAAACCTCATGTAATGGTTAGTTTCAATACTGAAACTAGAAAAGATACGCATAAAAAATATAAACAGTAATATACGTTTTTTCTTCGGCTTAAGACTCAAGTATCTACAAGTGAGGCTTGCTGAAATAATTTAGTAGCACATACCTTCCATAATATGACAATATTCAAATCCACCTCACTGCATTTTTGAATCAATCTCACAGCATCCTCTGTTGACTGTTTTTCTGTATGCACAGGCAAGTGAGCTTGTGGTTTTTTCAATTCAGAAGATAAACTTCGATAAAAGAAGTCTGCACACGGGCTTGCTGAACTTATTATCTGTTAAAAGAAAACCACTTGTCTTCATAAATGCTTTTAATTATGTTCTGTCAAATTTTATTTTGTATAACTCATAGCTTTAATTAGATATATCCTGTCAAAATTTATATTTCTATAGCTTATATATACCCCAAATACTTATTCAATAATTCTTGTCAATGTAGTTGAATATAGGGAGGCCACTTGAACATTCAAAAGATTTGGTACAAATTACCCTAAATTTTTTTTTTTTTTTGATACAGGGTCTTACTCTGTCATCCAGGCTGGAGTGCAGTGGTGCGATCTCAGCTCACTGCAACCTCCACCTCCCGGGCCCAAGCAATGTTCCCACCTCAGCCTCCCAAGTAGCTAGGTTACAGGTGCGCACCACCATACCCGCCTAATTTTTGTAAAGACAATGTTTTGCCAGTTTTGCCATTTTACTCAGGGTGGTCTTGAACTACTGAGCTCAAGCATTCCCCTGCCTCGGCCTCCCAAATGCTGGGACTGTGGGCGTGAGACACTGCGCCCAGCTGCAAGTTACCCTGAATCTTAAAGCCATCACCCCAAAATAATTAAGCTACACTCCCGTAACATTAGCTTTGACCTTCCAACTATCTAGGGAGAATGAATGGGTATCACCAAGAAAATGAAATGTTGAAAATCCATATTTTAAAATGACATAAATATTTCTCATTTAAATCCTAGGCAATACACAATGAAGCAGAATGTGAATAGAATTATTGGCATTAACTTGACTTTTATGCTTGAGCAATGAAAGCATGAAATAAGAATTTTAAATGGACTCAATTACAGGATTTCCTTTAATTAATGAATATTGTGCCACATAATAACATCTTTCTATTTGTGGTTTCCTGTACTACAGGCTCTGTATATATTATGTAGATGTTAAACTTCAAGTTATTAAATAAGTATTAAATATTAATAATTATGTATGTTTTTCTCCTTACAAGTGAACTTATAAAACACTGTCCCCATAGTTTTCTCACTAATCTGTAGTGCTTGGCAAGTTCTATTTATTCAACCAGATTCATCAAAATGAAAAATGTGTTTGTTTCTGCCTTTGCCAGTGCTCTTACACTAAATTATTTAACAACAAATACAATAAAAATTACAATACAAGAGTCCTGCTGATGTTTCTGGAATTTTAGAAGTTTTTAAAGAAATTAAAAAAAAAAAAAAACTATCCTGAAAATTAATTCAACCATTCAGGAAACATAGTATCTCTGAAAGTAACGCATGTTTTGAAATTACTGAGCTTTTGAAACTTGGAGATATTTCTATATAGCTGTTTCCTCAAATGGTAAAAAGATAGTAATGATGAGTCAGATGAAAGCAAATGATAAAAGAAGTACAAAAATATAAGGATGTTTAGAATTATCAAGGAGATGAACACAAAGAAGAAATCATCCCACTAAGAGCACACAATTATATGAAGTTTTACACCCTAGATTCAGCATTTTTCAAAGCAGGCCACTACTTCAAATTATCTTCAGGGATAGCTTAAAATGCATATTCCCAAAGTCTACCCAAGATATAATCAACCAGAGCTTTAGAGGTGGGGAGGCAAAGCCTGTATTTTTACAAAATCTAGGTCCAATTATGGTCTGCAGGCTAACAACGTCAACCTCACCCAGTAGCTTATAACAATTGAGAACCTCAGGTTCTACCCAAGTCCTATGGAATCAGAATGTGCATATTAACAACATTTCTGATAACTTATACATACACGTTTTAAAACTTTGAATAACACTGTTCTAGGAGGCTCTTTTTCTTTTTTCTTTTTTTTTTTTTTTAAAGAAACAGGGTCTTGCCTTGGTCTCTGATACCCAGTCTGGTCTTGAACTCCTGGCCTCAAGCAATTCTCCTGCCTCGGCCTCCCAAAGTGCTGAAATTACAGGCATGAGTCACCACACCTGGCCCTCTACGTAACTGTTATACATAATTAGGATGGAATATCACTGACCTAGACAGTAATAGCTTTATAATCACAATAGAGCCTTATGTATCTACCTTATTATCTGGGTCTCAGAATATATGATATGATACGCCAAAATTTAGAGGGTTATCATCTATATGTTCCATTGTAACCAATTTCCCTAATAGAAAAGATCCCTCATATAATCTTGCTTTCTTATAAAGTTTACATTGTTTTCTGTAAATTTATGGAGAACTTGAGTTTCAGTCTAGTGGCTTTGTTAATGCATTCATTCTTACTCTCAGTCCTTTTGCTGTAGTTTTTACAATCACTACTATTGTTTGAAGTTTGTTGTTTAGCAACTTTCTCAATAATTGTTTGTAGCAATTCTCTATGTTCTTGCATGTTTGAAACTGTTGCCATTGAATTTGAGTGACAGTTTGTCAGGAACAAATATTGGTTATATTTTCTTTTTTTGAGAATTCTGTATGTATTAGTCTGAGCACAGAATAAAAGTTTTGACCAAAAAAAAAAAAAAATCCCAAGAACTATACTTATTTCATATGATATTCTCAAAAGAAAGTTAATTTTAAATAACTACTTAAAATGGTGTAGTCCATAAACATTTTTGGTCTGTTTTGGGGATTGAAGGCAGGTTGCAAAACTCAATAAAGTTGAGATGTTTATCCTCCAAAGAAGTCTGGGGAGGCTGGGTGCAGTGACTCACACCTGTAATCCTAGCACTTTGGGAGGTTGAGGCAGGCAGATCGCTTGAGCTCAGGAGCCGGAGACAAGCCTGAGCAACATAGTGAGACCCCGGTCTCTATAAAAAATTTTAAAAAACTAGCCAGGTGAGATGGCTGATGCCTGTAGTCTCAGCTACTCGGGAGGCTGAGGTGGGAGGTCAAGCCTGCAGTGAGCTGTGATTGTGCCACTGTACTCCTGGGCGACAGAGCAAGACCTTGTCTCCAAAAAAAAAAAAAAGAATTTGGGAACTACTGCGATAAGTCTTGCCAAAACAGGCAGCCATGCCATAACTATGACTTAACATCAAACACTACTATGCATACTTGCATACCTGTTCATTTCCAAAGATGATATCTGCAAAGGTATATTTTTCAGAGGACTGTGTGGCCGCTAAAAAACAGGGGAAAACAAACTAATCATATCATTGGCATAAAATACAAAATGACCATTCAGTAAAGTGTAAAAGTAAAGCGAATTTACCTTCTTTTTTCTCACATCTGATTGCCTTAAAGCAAAACTTTCCCTTCTCCCTACTGGCAAGTTTGGCATCTAGGAAGAAAAAGGGAAATCTCAAAGATGTTTCTCAGTTCATCACATGATAAAACCCAATTCATTATTTAGACTTCCGTGGTCAAATGGAAAATAATTCGTAATTATAAATAATGTTTAATGAAGAACATCTTTGTTTTTATTTCAATGAAGTGATGTCTTAAAAAGGATAAATTTCAATTTTCTCAAAATACATATCCGTGTGTGCATATATATATATGTATTCATATATGCAACATTTCAGATAAACAGAAAGTTTGAAAGATCAGAACACGGGGACTGGAAAGCCCATAATCCTGCCACTCTATCATTTCTTAATTTCCTTTCAGTATGTTTCATATGCATGATTTATACCAATATTACTATATGAACACACTCTACAATATGTTTCCCCACAATTGCAGGCACTTCTAAAATGGTACTTCAAGTACATTTCTGGTACACATTCTTGAATGTTATATAAACATGACAATTCACAGAACAGCCAGTCAGTACGTAGGTAAGGCTATTCACAGATAAACCCACCAGTGGTAAAGGAAACAAAAAGAAAATTCCATATTCTAGTCTACATATTTTTGTACCGGTTGTTTGTATTTTTTTTTTTTTTTTTGAGACAGAGTCTTACTCTGTTGCCCAGGCTGCAGTGCAGTGGCATGATCTCAGCTCACTGCACCCTCTGCCTCCCAGGTTCAAGCAATTTTCCTGCCTTAGCCTCCCGAGTAGCTGGGATTACAGGCACCTGCCACCACACCCAGCTGATTTTTGTAGTTTTAGTAGAGACAGGGTTTCGCCATGTTGGCCAGGCTGGTTTCAAACTGCTGACCACAAGTGATCCGCCCGCCTCGGTCTCCCAAAGAGCAGGAATTATAGGCATGAGCCACCACGCCCAACCCTGGTTGAATTTTTGACAGTAATCATGTACCCAAGCACTGATTTTACAATAAAAACCAAAAAGAAGAAAATACAAGAGATGTGGAAGGGAATTAAAAAAATGGGAAAGACTGGATCAAGATAGGTAATTTCATTTATAGTTAGGTAAACTAACGAAATCACAATTTAATGCTTAAAAAAGTTAATCCTAATAATCTTAAGACATTCTGGTACTATTCTGGAAAACCAAGTAATGAAATTTCAAAATTTATTATGTAGCAGGAAAAATGTACAAACCTTTGTTTTCAGAAAGATTTACAGATTTCTGTAACTTCCAGTGTTTGCTACTACTTGATACTTGCACTATATGGAATTCCTTAACACCTGCTTCACTCTGTCAAAAAAAAAGATAGGAGAGTCATTCAGGATTTAGAAGCACTAAATCAGAATGTTCTGATGAGAACAAATTTCAGACACTGCTACCAAAGTCAATCTCAACTAACATAAGATGCAATTACAACATACATTTCAAAAAACTTATTTAAATCCCTTTCTAAACATTTTCAGAAACATCAACATTTTTTCCAAGAAGTATTTTCGACTATAATACATACTCATTGGTACATTTTAAAATACTGAAAGCCATTGAGTTATTAAAGTCTATCACAATGAGCTATTGGTAGTATTTAAAAGATCAAAAATTGTCAATTTTTAATCAAAATTATGGCATTTTCTTTTTATTTCTCTACTCTTTCTGAGATATCTCATTCTTATTAGGCAAAAAACAAGCAACAAAAAACTCACATAACAGAATCCTAATATATGGTCAGCACACATGAAATTATTTAAGTAGCATGTATTTTTTTAATTCTCCTGAATAAAAGCTAATCTGAAATTATTAAAATATTCTCATTCTTACTATAAAAATATTGATTTTCGGGGGGAGATCACCAAAGTACAGCACATTAACCCTAAATATCCTAGAAAGCAGACACCTTACAAATTTATGAAGTTAGAAATAAAGAACATTACAGAATTAACATTTCAAATAAGTACCTGAACTGAATCAATCTAATGCTAAGGTCCTATTTCAAACATGAGAGATCACGCTCTCATCTTCAAGAAAACTCATTTTTACAGCCTGGCCAACATGGTGAAACCCTGTCTCTACTAAAAATACAAAACAATGAGCCAGGCATGGTGGCACGTGCCTATAATCCCAGCTACTTGGGAAGGCTGAGGCACGAGAATCACTTGAACCCAGAAGGCGGAGGTTGCAGTGAGCAACCTGGGTGACAGTGAGAACCTGTCTCAAAAGAAAAAAATATATATATATATTCATTTTTATAGAGTGCCTAAACAGGAATGGCAATATTTCAGAAATTTACTATATAAAGGAAATGGTACTGTTAGAAATGTGCAAGTGAAGATTTCCAAGTTAATCTGAATGTGATATATTAACAGAACCTCACAATTTAATAACACCAATGGATCTCAATGGTGAGACCTAGAAAGCATTTTATGAGATCCTTCAGAATGAATTACTAGCATATGTAACTATATAGCATATCAGTGTGTACCATATTAATATCAGATCTTTTTATCTGAAGAGAGGCTAAGGGATAAAATTACAAATCTAATGAAGAATTAAGATGAATTCGTACTATTCTATATGAACATTCCTAAAATCCCTAGCTTATGCTGTCTTGTAAAGCTGGGGGGGGGGGGGGGGGACCCACTACTAAAAACAAGAGAAACACTTCAAATATAATTAAAAACAAAATTCAGTTTTAAACCAACTTACAGTATTGGTATTTTCCACATCCACAAAGACTAGCATATTGCCTCCTCTGCCTTCTTCATTTTCAAGAGAATTACTTCTGCAGACAGTGGCCCGTACATTTAAAGACCGACTGGTACAAATAATCGCAGTGTGTCTTAATATTCTGTGCCTGAAACAAAACAAAACAAAACAAACAAAAAAACACACATTTAATCTAAGAGTCTCTATGTTATAATTATCTAATTCCAAATAAAGATTTTAAAAACAGATCACTCTCAGGACGAGTTATACTCTAAAAATCCATAGAATACATTAAGTAAAATTACATAGCCTAACTTCAGTTCAATTCTTTCTATCCAATTTGGAAGGAAACTGTTAGTCTCCCTGTCTAAGTTTTTGCCTTGCTTGGCCAGGAATGGTGGCTCACGCCTGTAATCCCAGCACTTTGGGAGGCCGAGACGGGCAGATCACA